TGCCACCGGAGTGATACTTGACTGACTCTGGCGTCTCCATGTCCAGCTCGTCATCCTCTTCCTGATCCTCAACTTCCTCCTCAACCACATTGAAATCTGCATCAAGCTCATCCTCCTCCTTCACATTCCTGCCACCAGAGCGAAAGTTGGCTGACAGTGGGGTCTCGACCTCCAACTCCTCATTCTCTAGTTCTTCCTCCCCCCCTTTGAAATCTGCATCAGACTCATCCTCTTGCTCCTCACTCCTACCCCAGGAAGGGTCCATGGCTGGCTGTGTGGTCTCGACCTCCAACTCATTCTCCACTTCTTCCTCCTCCCCTTTGAAATCTGCATCAGACTCGATCTCTTGCTCCTCCCTTCTGCGCCGGAACCGAACCGTGGCTGGGCGTTTCGGCCATGGCGCCTCGACCTCCACCTCCTCGTTGCCCAATCCATCCTCCTCCCCATTGAACTCCTCGTCAGACTCGTCTTCCTGCTTCCCCGCCCTGCCCCGGGAGCGAGCCGTGGGCGCGCACCTCGGCGTCGGCGTCTCGATCTCGAAGCCCTCGTCCTCCCCATCCAACTCCGCGTCAGACTCTTCTTCCTGCTTCCTCGACCTGCCCCGGGAGCGAGCCGTCGGCGCACGCCTCGGCCGCGGCGTGTCGATCTCGAAATCCTCGCCCTCCTCCTCCTCCTCGAAATCCGCATCGGAGTCGTCGTCGTCGTCGTCGTCGCGCGGCTTGGCCTTCCTGGCCCGTCGGCGAGGCTTGGGCCGCGGCGTCTCGATCTCCTCCAACTCCTCCTCGAAATCCGCATCGGATTCCTCCTGCTCCGACTCCTGCCTCCGCCTCCGCTTCCGGCCCCGGCCGCGAGCCCTGGCCGGCCGCCGCCTGGGCCGCGGCGCGTCGATCTCGAAGTCCTCGTCCTCCTCCTCCTCGGAATCGGCGTCGGAATCGTCGTCGTCGTCCGACTTGGCCTTCTTCCTGCCCCGCCCGCGGGGCCTGGGGGGAGGCCTGGGAGGGCGCCTCGGCCGGTGCCGCGGCTTGTCGATCTCGAAATCCTCGTCGTCCTCCTCCTCCTCCTCCGCGTCCCCGTCGAAGTCGGCGTCAGATTCGTCCTCGGGCTCCGCCTCGGCCTCCTCCTCGGAGGCGTCCTCGTCGGAGCACGCGGCCGCCGCGTACTCAACGTCATCCTCCTCCTCCACCTCCTCCTCCTCGTCCTCGTCCACGACGTACTCGTCGTCGTCGTCGCCGCCCATCTTCGCCCGCCGCAGGACCGCCCTCCCGCCGGCGACCATAGACGGGCAGATCCCTGCACGCACGCCACAAATCCAAGTCAGTTGAACCGTCAATCGAACCTCCGGACGCAACAGATCGAAATTCCGCGACGCGAATCGGCCGGATTTCACTCGAGAAGAGGGTGAAGAACAGTGAGAGAGAAGATAAAAGGGGTAAAAAGGAAGGAGGGGAGTTCCATTTCGGGGTGAGAGGGGGAGGGGGAAAACTTGCCTCGCCGCACGAGAATTGAGGAGACGCTCAGACGCGCACCCAACAGTGGGCGACAAAAGGCACCCAAATAGGCAGGCCGACCCTCGAGTTCGAGTTCGACTTCGAAACGGGGTTCCCTTCCTTCCTTCCTTCCTTCCTTCCCGACGGAGAAGATAATAATGGCAGTGGTGCTAAGGGGAATTCAAATCTCTGAGAATTGTATACGATTTGGTAGTGGTGGTGGTTTTGGATGGAAAGGAAAGGGGAGAAGTGGGGGGTGGTGGACTGGGTTTGGTAGGGTAGGGCGCCGATGCGGAAGGGAAGCGAGGGGAGAGGAGAGGAGGAAACGGAGAAAACGAGAGGAAGGGGGCGGTGGGCCTGGCCGTTTTATCTATGGCGGCATCACGACGAGGGAGGGGCGTGCGTGGTGGGGCCAAGCGGCCGCTAAGACTTGAAGTTTACTCCGGCGGTTACTGCTAAACCCGGGTGCGGGCGTACGTTTCGATTAGATAGCGGTTCGCTGTTTTCTCGAAGAAAAAAAAGGTGACGGTTAGCTCGAGTGATTCTTTTAATTTTTACTTGGGGCAGTAAAAGTAATAATCTGGTGCGCGAAGATCCACCCAAGACCAACACCAGCCGAATCCCACGAGATCCGTCGAAGACACACACCACCACCACTACACGCACTTCAACGACGTTAGACGCATCGCCAGGGAGGAGGCTAGGCGGGGAGAACTTTGTTCCATCTTCAAGGAGCAGTCACCGCCTCACCTGAGCAGAACACGAACCCTAATCAATCTTAGAAAAACACCTATAAACGGAGCAGGAGCCCTCCCGCCAGCAAGGGTCAAGGTCCAACGCGTCTCCATGGCCCAAAGGCCATAGGCGGTGAGGCAGACTGGAGCGACAACACACGCAGGAAGCCCTTGTCGCCTAAGAGTCACCTTTCTTAGCGAAGAGGAATAATTTTCTCTTGAGAGCTCTTGTTACTAAAAATAAAAATTATGAGCTCACACATTTCCAATGACAGACAAAAAAGTACCCGAACAGTAAACAAAGCAGAATATTTTTATCATTTTGACCATACCACATAACATAACTGACGACCAAACTTTTTTGGGGGCCAGACCAAAAAGATACATAGGGTTGGTGTATTTGGGTCTTTATTACCTGAAGAAAAAAACCCAAAAGTATTTGGGTCTTCATCTCCACTGCCCCGGCCAATTTCGATTACAGCCACCACCACCCCTCCACTTGGGGGGTCATCGTCGCCGAGCTTGCGTCACCGCCAGATCTCCTCTAATTTCGGTCATCCCACCATGCTTCAAACTGTCGTATTCACCCAGTCACGGGCCTCGAGCACCGCATCGCCGCCCCCGAACTAGCACGTCGTCTGATTTAGTTTCATCGTCGTCCCCGCCAAGCTCCTCCCCGCTACCGAATCTTCATGTTTCGTGTTGTTTTGAAGATATGCGTATCTAGGTTTTTGTCGATTGTAAGAGCATCTCCAACATCAAATGAAAAAATGTTGTCGTGACAAAAAACGTTTTTTTTGTGTTTGGGAGGCCAAAGAGCAGCTCCAACAACAACACTAAATCTACATGGCGACTAATCATTTTTTTTGTCCCGACTAAAAAATTGCTAAAAGTGATGTAAAATTTGGTTCATCGCTAACAACCGACCAGACGTTAAACGGCTGCCACGAGAGCCCCAACCGCCTGATCTTAATATTCACCCTGCCACCGCCACGCCCTATTTCGGCCATCCTATGCTCCGCCGCCCCTATTCCGCCCTATCTGTTTTGTTTATCTATCTTCTATGGCACCACGAGCAGGGGGGTGGGGTGATGGCCGCTAGACTTTTCTGGGGGAGGGGGGGACTTTCGATCTAATCATCATCTGTCATGGTAGCACAGAGAATACTGGAAGTAACAAATAATTACATCCAAGCTTGAAGACCATCTAGTGATAGTCGTCATTATTGCCCCTTCCTCACCGAATTGTTGTGATAGATAGTAGAGAAGTCATCATGTTAGGGCCCCAAAGTACCGGCACACCAAAACAACACCAGTTGTTGATGAAGAGAAGTTTAGATAGGAAGGATCCAATGTGGAAACACACGAACGAAGACAGGGTCCAACAGTTCAATAAAAAACCACTCCGGCCGAGTTGGTGAGAAGCGCCAAAGACACACCTCCACACATCCACCGACAACGCTAGACGCACCGTGGACGGGAACAAGGCAAGAAAGACCTTATTTAATTTTCAGGGAGCCTTCGTCGTCTCACCTTCATGAGTAGAACATAAATTCTATTAAAATTGAAAACTCTAACTAAAAATGGAGTAAGATATGTCCCATCGATGAGGACCGGGATCCATCCCGCCTCCATGGCCATAAGAGCAGCTCCGACCGGCCGACCCAAACGGATGTCAATTTTGTCCCTTTTTGTCTGTCCGGGTCGGTCGTCCGCCCGTTCGTGTCCACTTTTTTAATTGGGTCGGCAGGTGCGCCCAATGGTAGCCAACCCATTTTTACTGTCCATGGCGCCATGACATTTCTTCGAACACGTGGCAGGCAGGGGAGCTCGTAGCGCGCAAGGAGGTCAACGGGCGAGCTCGAACCCCACGGCGGGGGCGGCACGGCGAGCGCGACGAGCGCAAGGCCGGGCGTGGTTGGGCGAGGCGAGGCGAGGCCAGGCGCGACGGGGCGGCGCGAGCATTTGCGCAACGGAAGCAAAGGGCAAGTGGGCAGTGGCCACGCACGCGCTGGGAGCCAGGGACGGCATTTGTCCCTTTTTCTTGAGAGAGAGAAGGGGGGCGGCGACTCGGGAAAAGGAAGGGTGGACGCGCGGGCGGGCGGGCGGTTCATTCCGCGGGCCGCGCCCGGAGCCGTGGGCAAACGGGAACGGTGGGCGCCCGCGCCGTAACACAAGCTGCTGGCTGCCACTGTACAGATTTTGCAATCTCGACGGCTGCTAATTTTGCGGACGCTAACTTCGCGTCACGGTCAAGCCGTCACAGCCACCGACAGCTACAAAAACAGTCGGCGAAATTTGAAGTGCCGGCTTATGTCCAGGGCTTGAACAGCCATCTAAACATCATTTTATGTATCTGCATTTTCTTGCTCTGTCCAGCAGACGGCGCGCCTTCTCCATAACCTCAGGGTCCCTTGATGCTTCTCAGGCCAGACATTGCTCGCGCCTTCAATTCGGTCTCTTGGTCGTTCCTCCATGAGACGCTTTGGCAGCTAGGCTTCAGCCAACATTGGAGGGAGTGGATTTTCATCTTTTTCTACTCCGTGTGTACGAGTACGTCCTCATCAATGGGGCTCCAGGCAAGATCTCAGGATGATTTCCTCTCTAGATCTTCACTTTAGTCATTGGTGACCTGAACTCGCCCATCCACCTCGCGATTCAACTTCACCACCTTATTGCTCGTCTCGTGACTTTGAGTGTGTCTCTCTAGGTCGACGACATCATCGTATTTTTGCCACTCCGACGTGCATGGCATCTTCACAACCATATGTCTTCTCGGGTTTTTGGCTTGGTGGCCGGTCGGCGTACCAAGTTAGCCAAGTGCTCAGCTACACCCATTTACTGCTCCAACGACCACATCGACAAAATTGCTTCTCAATGGCAATGCCCGATTGCTACTTTCCCAGTGCAATACCTAGGCCTCCCCCTGTCCATTTGGAAGGTCTCCACCGCCAACCTGCTGCCGCTGGTGGACAAGTTGGAGAAGAAGCCTCCAACTTGGAAGTCTGTTCTTTTTTTGCGCGCTGTATTTTATTTGGGTTGGTA